TAAATCGTTTAAAAACACATTTTTGAACTAACTGCTTCCAAAATTAAATCACGAATGTGTTCAGAAAAGGTTGATAAATCTACTTAGCAAAAAATCTCATTTTAGGTATTTTCAGTGATAATTGACTCCGTTGTCACCTTAAATGATATTTAATAACAAAAAAACCCATCTTTTTATTGATTTTTATTGATTCATGTCATTAAATTATGATTTTTTTTCCAAATACATAAGTTGTTAACATTATGTATAAGAAATATCTTGTGCCAGATTTCTGCTCACAGTAAAAACAAAACTGAAGTTGTGTGATTGATGAAAAAGGTAGGAGTTAAACAAAGGATCAGTACAGGAAATCTTAAATAAACATTTATACCTCTTAAAAAAGTAATTTCAAAATCAAGAGTTGTTTGATATGTACAAGACATACAGAAAATGTTATGCTATTAGATAGTTATAACTTCCTCTGAAAGAAACAACATTAAGACAACCCCATGATAATAGTCCAGTACCCTCTTTCCTATAGATGAACCAATCCTGGTGCCAATTTGAATGCCTGCCTGCAGTTCAAGAAACTTTTATCTTAATCATTCTCAATTGAAAGTGAAAAAAATATCTTTTAGATTTTTGACACCTGATAACCAATGCTCAGCAAAATGTCAGTTTGAATTTAAGTTAATTAGGGATATGATCTTTTAGAAATTTGAATACATATTTCTATTTTGCCAATTTTATATACTTCCTTTTGCCTTTGTTTTAGCCATATCTCTGATATAACAGTTTAGGAAGTTTGTCTTTCCTCCAGATCTTTCCATTCTTTCATCCGCAAGATTTTATTTACGTTTTTCCGCTTGTCTGGCATGTATAAACATTCTGCATTAAAAGGATTATCATTCCACTTTTCTCTACAGGAAACTCCTTTATAGTTTTAATTGTTGTGGTTTTGAATAATAAACATATTGTTTTAAAAAAAGAATTAGAGAGTTAACAAGGTTTCTAAACCAGTGTTTGATGTTCCTATCTTCTCTAACGAGTAAGATACCATCAAAAACATCGAAGATTTCACAGATCTTTAACTCTTTTTTCATCTCTGAAATTTCAAAGCTTTCCATCAGTTTTGAATGTACAAAAGTTCTATAGCTGTACTGTTACTTAACCATCTTAGGTGAGCTGAATGTGAATGGTACTCATTTATGCTGAAATCAAGGCACTTTTTGTATAAGAAATAAAAATGTAATTGAATTAATTGAGTTTTATATCATATGGACACACACAGAAGAAAACAAATAGCACAAATATTGTGTACAAAAGATTACCTGGAATTTTTGTAGACAAAGTATATGAAGAATTAAATATAGAATGATGTGATTAAATCAGTCTAAAGATTCCTTTACCTCTAGCTCCCATTAGAAAAAAAAACAGCCTTTTGCCACTTTCAGAAAAGAAGAAATGGCCCTTGGCTAGTTGAAGAACAGCCTTTTGCCACTTCCACTAAAAAAGAAAAGCCCTTTGCCTCTGGGAAAGCAGTATTCTCCAACAAGAGGAAAAAGCATGGACCAGAATTAAGAGATTTAATACTTTTCATTGTATCTCGGGATTGTAGACTTGGTCTATGTTAAAACTAAAAATAAATGAATAGTTTTTCTCAATATTTTTTTCAGTCTTTGAGTAACAATTTAATGACACTAATTAAACAATATTCTTAAAAGTCTGGATGCACTGAATACATTGTATATATTTAATGGGTGAATGACTAAATAAGGTGGCATTTTATTTTGGGATACTGTTTTTGCTTTTATAGCTCTGGCTCTTTAAAGTAAGCTCCTTAAATTTACCTGAGCCGGACCTTTTACCTGCAGGACTGTGCTCCATATAAGTTTTTGATGTTATGTCAATGATACAATGTATAAACAATTAATAATAGAAACACTACAAGTCCCCTGCACAAAAAAAAAATGAATTTTAAACTGCAAAATATTGCTTTTACAGTAAGATGGTTTTAAAAAACAAACTGCCTTTTAATCTACAATCATTCAGTCTGTCTGACTGTAATCTTTATCTATTTAAATTATTATAGGATCAGATTAACTATCATTTTTGACTGTTGATCACTTGACAAGAGTGTGTTTTTATCCGTCTTATATTACTCAAACAATATTAAAGCTGAGCCAAACAATTTCAAAGTTGTGAAAATATATTCTGATATTTTTTAAGAAAAGTAAAAAGAATCAAGCAATGATTTGCATGTTATTAGAGATTGAGAGCTCTGGCTTAAGCAATGTCCAGTCTTGAACAATAAATGTATTGGAATTAGTAAAGGACCAGAAAAAAAGTATTGGGTTGATACAGGCAGATGTTTCAATGCCCAGGTTAATTATGGTTCCTCAAGTTATTATATGGATCCTGTAAAGGAAATACTTTAGGACTCGGTAACATCCCATTTCCTCTACTTTCTGTTTCGGCAATTGTTAAAGCACATGCCCAATAGCTATGACATCTAGCTGTGTCGTTATTAAAGTGAAATGAAATCTTGTAACATGCTAGCCATCGGAATTGTAACATGCCGACTATTGTGGGCTATGTTACTCTTTTTATCCCCACTCCTCTAGTTTTACCCGGGTTTTGGTGTTTATAGTTTAGCCGTCATAATGTGACAATTATATGAAAAATGGGAAAACAGGTGTTCAAAATACACCCAGAGCAGGTTACAGGAAATCTCCGATGTTTAAATTAATTTCAAATTACTAATGTTACAATGTTTATTGAAAAATGATAATAGAAGAGTCTCGGTATCATGGTAAGGATGGTTAAAGAGAATGATTGATTAAGAAATTGTGAAAATTACAATTATATTCATTGATAATACTAGGGTAGTTACATAATCTGCTTGAAATAGTGCCTTGCAATTTGTGTGCTTTCTTTGCATCTTTTACACATCTGCATCTGTGGTAATATTATATTTTGAATTTTATTCAAATGTTGTTAATTGAATAGAATTTATGAGAGATAATGTGCAGACAGACCTACTTTCAGTGAAGTTCCCAATTACCTTTTCTAAGGCTCCCAGTTATCTTGTTGTTGATTTCCAGTTATCTTGAAGTAAGTGTTGCATGTTTCCAGTTATCTTGTTGCAGGTTCCCAATTGCCTTGTTGCAGGTTCCTAATTACCTTGTTGCAGGTTCCCAATTACTTTGTTGCAGGTTCCCAATAACCTTGTTGCAGGTTCTCAATTACCTTGTTGCAGGTTCCCAATTACCTTGTTGCAGGTTCCCAATTACCTTGTTGCAGGTTCCCAATTACTTTGTTGCAGGTTCCCAATAACCTTGTTGCAGGTTCTCAATTACTTTGTTGCAGGTTCCCAATAACCTTGTTGCAGGTTCTCAATTACTTTGTTGCAGGTTCCCAATAACCTTGTTGCAGGTTCCCAATTACCTTGCTGCAGGTTCCCAATTTCCTTGTTGCAGGTCCCAATTACTTTGTTGCAGGTTCCCAATTACCTTGTTGCAGGTTCTCAATTACTTTGTTGCAGGTTCAAATAACCTTGTTGCAGGTTCCCAATTACCTTGCTGCAGGTTCCCAATTACCTTGTTGCAGGTTCCCAATTACCTTGCTGCAGGTTCCCAATTACCTTGTTGCAGGTTTCCAATTACTTTGTTGCAGGTTCCCAATTACCTTGTTGCAGGTTCTCAATTACTTTGTTGCAGGTTCCCAATAACCTTGTTGCAGGTTCCCAATTACTTTGTTGCAGGTTCCAAATAACCTTGTTGCAGGTTCCCAATTACCTTGCTGCAGGTTCCCAATTACCTTGTTGCAGGTTCCCAATTACCTTGTTGCAGGTTTCCCAATTACATTCTTGCAGGTTCCCAATTACATTCTTGTAGGTTCCCAATTACCTTGTTGCAGGTTCCCAATTACCTTGTTGCAGGTTCCCAATTACCTTGTTGTCAGGTTCCCAATTACTTTTCTGCAGGTTCCCAAATACCTTATTGCAGGTTCCCAATTACCTTGTTGAAGGTTCCCAATTACTTTGTTGCAGGTTCCCATTTTACCTTGTTGCAGGTTCCCAATTACTTTGTTGCAGGTTCCCAATTACCTTGTTGCAGGTTCCCAATTACATTGTTGCAGGTTCCCAATTACCTTGTTGCAGGTTCCCAATTACATTCTTGCAGGTTCCCAATTACTTTGTTGCAGGTTCCTAATTACCTTGTTGCAGGTTCCCAATTACCTTGTTGCAGGGCTCTACAAATTATATTGTCGCAGGTTTCCAGTTATCTTGTTGCAGGTTCCCAATTACCTTACTGCAGGTTGCCAGTTACCTTGTTGAAGGTTCTACAAATTATCTTGTTGCAGGATCCCAATAACCTTATTATAGGTTTCCAATTACCTTGTTGAAGGCTCCCAGGTTCCCAGTTACCTTGTTTCAGGTTCCCAGTTATCTTGTAGTGGGTTCCCAGTTATCTTGTTGCGGGTTCACAATTACCTTATTGTAGGTTCCCAATTACCTTGTTGAAGGCTCTACAAATTATCTTTGTTGCGGGTTTTCAGTTATGTGGTTTCATGTTTTCGGTTATCTTGTTGCAGATTACCAATTATCTTGTTGCAGGTTTGGGAAGATATTGAGAGTTAACCCTTTAGCTGCTGTAACTGAATGGACTGTTCCAAATTTAAGCTGAACAAATCCATTACACAAATTCAGCAGATTAAGGGTTAAAGGCAACTCTGACATAACTAGATTAATTTATACAACAAATTACAATGTTCCAATGAAATATTGATTTATATTTTCATTTAGTTTAAGTTGACAGGTAGTGTTCTAAATATCCTGGAGATATGTCTACTTAACTGTTTGACAACTTCCAAAATATGACTTTTATAGCATTTGAACGATTTAAATTTTTAATTATGGGACCTTCTGTCAGCATTTTATGTTGTTTGAATTGTTTGAAATCGGTTTTTAATGAATAAAAAGCAGTTTTACATTGTGTACCTTTTGACATAAATTGCAGGGTGTGCAAGCATGGGAGTTGTTGTTGAAAAACAGAAAGTAGGAGGGTTGCTATAGAAATGTATCCTGTTTCCATGACGTTATCCAGGTGAACGGTTGTCACTGGACTTGCTGAAACAATTTAATATGACAGGTAGATTGGCATGCAGGGTGGGGCAGATAGTCATTATCATCATATTTTCTGACATCTTAATATTATACCCTCTTTTTCCATGAAATATGCCACACTTTGTTGGTGGAAAAATTAATCTTTGGCTTTATTCCATATATTATAGATATTGTCTGACTTTAAATTTGATTTGAATATGCAGTTAATTTGTTAAACATATATTTGTCTTGCTTTGAATCAAGACCTTTTCCTGTTTTCCTGATAACCTTTTTCTTATTTGAAAGACTGGACTTCTTTGAATGAGAAACTGTCATTTCTATGTTTCTCAACATTAAATTAATTACTTACAAATCTGCTTTCTGGAACTAACCAGTATTGGTGTTATAATTAAGAAACATGGTTCCACGGGCCAACCCAAAGTTCTCTGAGTGTAAAGGCAGATACCTAATCCACTGTTGCAGTGCAAATTTTAGTCAGGTTACTAACTTTATAACATCAAATCATTTTTCTCCCCACTTAAGGTTAGTTTCTCAAATAATGTCAGATGTCATGTAAGGATTTTATTTAGCTTGCATTCTTCGCAACAGACAAACACCAAAATATCATTCTTTTGCAATATAGCTTCTTTGCAAGAGTGTTTGGCTATATTTGATTGAACAATAATTATTTTAACTTGATTATAAAGAAAACTTTTTGCTAATTTCAGCTTCTTGTGGGGCTGCCTATGTCAACTCATATGAGGAAACATATAATTATATGCCATAACGTCCGGGATGTGTCCCGGACATGATTCTGTCCCGGTATGTATAAAAATCTGAAACTTGGTCATGACCCCAGTAGTGCTCAAACTTATAACACCTGGGTTGATAGGCAGACACCTTAACCACAACTCTACTTGTTCAGATAGGTACTTGGATCTGTATAAAAGTAGATTCATGTAATATGTATGTCTATTAATATGAAACAAATAAAAGCTTGTTTCTAATGAAATATCAGTAAGGTTTTGGACATTTTCATTCAAGAATATCAAATGACTTTTTGAACACCCGTATATTTTAAGGTCAAACCATTTAAACATGTTTTATGGTCAATGTTGGACAGTTGTGTTGTACATATTGTTCAAAACCGATCATTAGAGGGACATGCCTTTTTTGAAGATTTTATTTTACTGGTCTGTCTTGAGTAGGCTATTTGACTTCTATGTGTCATAGATCCCCTTGTGTCCCGAAAATGACCCTATACTTGTTCAACTGACCATTACGGGAAAACAAGCATATAATATTTTGACAGTAAATTTGTCCTTTGTCATTTAATCTGTTTGTTTCCTAGCGATAAAGTCTTTATATTTTCAACTAGCAGCTATATTTGATGGTCACTAAGCTACTTGTTTATGGGGCAGTGTGTGTGTGTACATGATAAAATTAAAGGCCTCACTCCCTGTTTTACGAGTCTGATGATAAGTGGTCATTGTCAACAATATATTTTGTGTGATAATAAGCACATAATGTATGGTACTGACTCACTATGTCTTGACAATTGGACCATTTTGTTAACAGTTTATAGCACGATTTTTACAGGCGTTGAACAAAATACTATGCTGATTTGTATAGTGGACATTTGCTGCTGTGAATTTGTATCAGTCTGTTAAAATTAGTTATTTTGTTAATTTTAAAATTAGTAATTTAGTTAATTTTAAAATCAAAATACAAGAATTAAAGGAGCTCCACTGAGGTCCATTGAAGCCTAAAAAGTTAAAAACATAACAATTTACAGTCTTATATAGTTTAAGTGAAGCACTTAAAATGGAAAAAAATTGAAAAGAATAAAAAGAAAATAGCTCAAAATTAAATTAATTGAAATTTTTTGGGTGAAAAGTGTTGTAACACTTCATTTTTTGGCCCTTTAACACAATAAAAATGATTATTCTAGAAAAAAGGATGAGGGAATGATCTGAAAGATTGCTCACAAGTTATTGATATAGACCCAACATCAAATGATATACAAATCTCTAAAAAATATTTCTAGAAAATTTCAGTCAAGCCCCTTTAAACAAATTTAGTTAATTTTTTTCAACAGTGTAAGTAATATAGTTAATTTTAAAATCAAAATACTAGAATGAAACAGTATAGACTTCAGGGATGTGCATGCTAACCTGACTTCAATTTTTTATGATGATGAAATTGTTTCAGTTACAGTTAAAATGTTACTCTGTAAAGACTCTGCGTAAGTTTCGAAATTCCAAATTTCACCATTTTCATGTATAATTGTTGAATTCTGCTTAAGCCGGTGCTAGAGGGCGTGGACGGTAGTTTGCACTTGACAGTACCTTCCATGAACAGGCTCAATCAAACGGAGCCTGCAACAAGTCTATCTAAGATATTAAGCTTGATAAGGGCTCATATATTTAAGGATTTACAAATTGATGGATTTTATTTTATAAGAGCTTAGTTACAAATACATGTATTTGTTCATTTACATTTCAGTAATAATGCAGAATTACAAAAAAAAATTGTAACAAGGAAGTTATTGCTTGTTATTTTAAAATAACTTTATTTAGGATTAAATCATAGTTAAACAAAAGATGATAACAAGGCTCATAAGTTCATCTGCAACTTAGTGGGAAAGATACTTGTCAATATTGTTAAAACCAGAAAACGCCTTTCCTCCATCTATAATTGACAAGATAGAGGTTGAGCTTGAAAACAAAGGTGTCATCTCAAAATGTAATTTTATCTTTGTAATATGGTTTTTAAAAAAAAAATTGACAGAAGAATTCACAATATTCTTTATTTAAGAAATAATGCATACTCATTCAGATAGTGTGGTAGATTATGAAGAACAGAAAATGGGGTGACTAATTTCCTTTACCCCTGACAAAGGCTTTGTCAAATATCTTCTTTCAAAATTAGATTTTTTTCCCCTATTCATATAATAAGTTTTCTTTTGTTTAACTTAAATGAAAACCTTAGCTGAAGAACATACCAGAGATCAACCGAGGTTTTCAGTTTTTGAGGTTTTCAACTGTGGTGATTTTTGTGTAGATCGAATTCCTCGAGCATCTCTCCGACATCGAATTCTTCGAGCATCTCCGACATCGAAGTATTATCTGTGATATATTGTAGTGAAACCGAACTCTTGTCTAGATGCACCATATTGATACAATTTGTTTCCGATGCGAGGTTGACTGGACATCTATTTTGTACATTCATGGTCGAATAGTATTGCCTGTAAACCGAACCTTCGGTTTTACTCCTAGATTTGTATCTCATATTCTTTTATTTATACAATACCCTTGCTACATTATATTTTTAAAAAAATGTAACTTTATTTTTTGTGATGCAAAAGTTGATACTTGTAACTTTTCTTTAGTTTTACAAGTTTTTGAAACATTATCTTCAGATAAAAACATACAATTTTCATTTTAAGACAATTTTGTATGCATTTTTACTTGAGTTTTTTTTCTTTTGTTCTCTTTGTTCAGCTTTATGTTAGGGAATATAGTAAGTTTGAGGTACTTTGATGAGAGAAACTATATCTGATATGTATGCTGTTAATATGGTAACATATATTTTTGTTAGTTAACATAATTGGCAGTGTGGGTAGAGTTGAGTTTGAGTCCTGGTTTCCAGTGCATGTTTTTTCTGTGACAATTTTTTTTTCACAATTTTTCCATCATGTCTATTGTAGAAAAAACAAAAGATTCATGTAAAGAAATTGAACTTTACTTGAGAAGATACTGGTCATCACTGGTGCAGATTACAGGAATTACCTGTTTATTACTAAAAAAATACTGATGCTAAAACAAATGAAATTGCTAAAAGCAATTGAAATGTTTAAATAATTGATTGAAATTGCTAAAAAAAATGAAATTGCTGAAAAAATTGAAATTTCTAAAACAATTGAACTTCCCAACAGACTCGAAAGTGTTTAATATAAGTTGCAAGAGCTTGTTTCCCAATCGAGCTTAAATAAATATGTTTAAACCAATTGCCGAAACAAATGAAATTTCCAGATATTTATTCAAATGAATGTAATATTTTGTGAATTTATATGATTCAATAATGATTTATGATAAATCTTTCTTTCTATATGATGCAATAATGATATACTATGAATCTTTCATTCTATCTTTATAATTTATGCTGTAGGTATTAAATACTCACACATACACACACAACAATGTATGTTTTTGTTATGTTTGTGCTATGGGAAATGTTTTTTCTATGTTTTATCATAGGTTTGATATAGAGCATGTGCATGTCATTTCTTTGTGAAGGAGCATAAAGTGTGCCGTTATATATAAACACTGCTCTCCACTAATAAGCCACTTGAAGCCTGTTAAATAACCGCTTTGTCTTGCAGTATATATTATGATTTTTCCCAGAATCTTTCCTTCCGCCTTTTGCCGTCTTTGTATTAATACTTCGCTGTTGGTTTATTTGTTTGTTATTGCTAATGGTGATAAACGCTTATTGCCTAACAGTAAATTTGTCAGTTAACCTAGATTTTATTTGGAACCTAGTAAAACCTGGAACAAACAAACAAACAGAATTTTATTTCAAGTTTATTTTAAGTTCAGTTCAAAATTTTCATTTAAATCTATATTTCTGTGCCAAATGCTCACTTCTTAACAAATGATAGTGGTTGCCATGGCCATGGTGTGGGTTTTTTTTTGCCAGTTTGCCATGGGGGGTGAGGGGAGGAAGTCAGTCTCTTGGAACAGGAATATAAGCATGTATCAATATGTAATTTAGGGGATTCCCATATGAAAGTATGTATAAAATTTCATTTTAACTCTGTCAAATAGTGAAAATTTTAAACTATTTATTATTGAAAACATAATTTGTTCAAATTGTGAAGATTTTAAACTGTTAAATATTAAAAACATAATTTGTTTCTTCACTTTTTCAGAGCCTGTAAGGAACGATGACAAACTACATGATGTCTCCACGGCCACACAGTTAAACCTTTGCAATGGGAAATGTTTCATAAAGTTGGGGTAGAGAATGTTAACTGGTACTCTTCAACAAGTGGGAAAGGACTAAATTTACAACATACTTTGTTGAAAAAAACACAGAAAAAAACAAAACTGTGTTGTAAGTAAAAATTTATGCCCTTAGTTAACAATTATAAAAGATCTGCCTCTGAACCGTTACTTGGTTTATATATTATCATATTTACTGTATACTTATCATACATTTGTATTTATTTTGTTACATTGACTACCATTAAAGAATTCGTCAAAACTGAGCTCAAAATAGATAAAAAAGCTTAAGCAGTTTGGCTCCTAATAATGTTACCAGTTATAAATAGGTTAGATTTTTTTTCACCAATTCTTTTAAAGCCAATCCCCTTGTACTGAATGTGCTTTACGACCCAAGTTTGTTAATCATTAATGAAACCTTACATATAAACAATCAAGCGGAAGTAAAACTTACGTGAAATATCATATTAAAGTATACAAGGTCTATATTAGCGAGGAGAGATGATATAATTCCTCGCTGATGATCACTATAACAGTTGGTTTCGGAAAGAAAAAAAAAGTAACGCAGCTGTCGGCACTTTCTCTTTTGAAATGTACCGTAGCTTGGTTTTTGAAGTGAAGTGGTTATTAAGAAAGTTTGCCTCAGTTTTATTACTGAAACGTTTTCGCAAGTAGAAAAAACAACTGTGATTTTTTTTTCTCTTAAGTAAATTTTAAGAAAGATTTAAAGCATTGAAGTTAAAAGATATGTTTTAGAAAACTCCTTCCGTTTTTCATGTCTAGCTTTTTATCAGCTTTTTGTTTCTTTTTGCTTTGCTTTTTTTTCACAATTTTTTTCTGTTTGCTTTTTTTTTTACTATGATTTTGGTAATGTCAGAAACAAAATACAAAAAACAACAAAGTAAGTTAAGCAGATAGTCTGATTGTTTCATAAGTTTTGTTTAATATAGATAAAAAAAAAATTAGGCAATTAAGAAAATTAATGTATAACAGTATATTGATAATGTAGGTGCCTTGTCTAACAAGTATAATCATCATGCCTTTCTGAATTTGTATAATACACAAGTACCTGTTTTTGAATTTGGAACAGCCCATGAATGTATTTGGTATACTATTGTAAGAAAGCTATATCTAACCAAATATTTTCACGAAATTTATAAATTGTAAAATTATGTTGTTTCTTTAATCTCATGGTGGATTCTCAGAATACTTGTGACTTAGAATGTCTTTATTATTTGACACATATGAATATTCACTGTAAACAATATAAAATGTTCTGGAACAAAATATGATGCTGCTATTTTGAGTAGAATTTTAATAGTTTACTAATGATTTCATGCAAGCATCATTTGCTCTTAAAGAAATATGCAAGCGTCTTTTTTACAAACAATATTTTTGATGTATTCTTTATGTACAAACAGCCAAAACCTAGCTGTATACACTTTAAGGGATAACAGTAACGAAGTACAAGAATTGAGCTACCAACAGTATAGAGCCTGCTCAGGCTGCACATTCTGGCTCTATGTTGGTGGCAAAGGCTTATTAATTTTGTTAACAGCAGGTTGCGAGGTATTGGCAAACAATTTCACAATAATGCTAACCAATAAATCTTTATTATTCTCCATATTTTAAGCCTAATAGTGAAGAATAGGGAGAGGTATTGTACACATCCCAGTGTCAGTGTTGTCATCATATCTAACTTTAGTGCTTTTGCATGCTATAATTATGGTATTACCAAAACTTCTAAAAGGAATATGTTGAAACTTTACTCACTTGTTCTCTGCAATTATCTAACAAAGTGGGCACGCAGGTCCTATAACTCTGGGTTACCCTTTTTACAAAGTTGTGCCCCTTTTCTTACTGTAAAGCACTGTGTATTCTGATGAATAACTCTTGTTATATTTAAATCCAGAAATAATGAATTATAGGCAAAAGTGCCTTTAAAAACAATTCATACAAATTGATATAATAAATTAAAGACAATATAAATAGGTTTAATCTATTATCATGTTTTACAGGTAATAGAGTCTGCTGTAAAACATCATTATGTTGTTTTTCTTCCAAGTAAATACAAAAAAAAAAGTTCATATAATTGATCATTGTTGAAAATAGAAATTTTACAATAATGAAAAATTAGAATCTAAAATAAGACATTGAGATACAAATGGAGTTAAGTCAGGTAAATTAGGAACCAGTATTCCAGGGTGGGAAATATGTATAAAGTTTGAACAAATGATGAGCACCTTAGATTCTGTTTTCAGTCTCGAGTTGGCAGTAGAATGATACAGATGTGGGAGATTTATTTTCTTGCTTCCGTTGAGACTTGCCAAATCGTGATCTATGGACACATAAAAAACTACCAAACTTCAATAGAAATTATGTGTGTTTGGACAAATGGATGTTTTCAAAACAAAGATCAATGAAATTGGTTAGCAATGGGTCGATCAGAAATTTTCAATTTTAATTTCAGCAGAATGAAAATCACTTTATGATGTCTTTAATCTGTTGCCAGGTTGGAAAGCTGATAATCTGATAAATGTGCTTAAAATGACAAATGTTTGCACATCTTTGAATCTATTGTATCATATTGTTGATCCATAAACCCCTCATATGTAAGCTACATGTGAGAAATGAGCAAGTGTGCTATATTGTAATGTTGCTGCTTTTTATCTAAGGTCAAAGATTTAAAATAATAAGAAAATAAGAGAATACATGAATAAAGAAAAAATATCTTGATTGTTTAATAATATCCTGAGATTTTGAAAGATGTTTATGGGAGCATAATTTTCTCATAACTGTGTGACATTTCAAATCCTTTGTACAACACTTTCATAAAGATGAATTAATGTTTTTTTGCTCTACTCATGCTAGATCTAGTTCATTTGAAATTCTATTTATTTATTGATTGTTTATTCGAAAAAAGAATAAAATTTGATTTTGAAACTTTAATGAACTGCCACTTGTGGCTGCTTTATGCTTCAGGATATTGTGGGGTTATATTGTTAGCGCCCTCTTAGTGTTGATCTTTAATAGTGTCAAGTTTTTATTTTAATCATCAGTATAAAAATAAAACCATTGTTTCAAGCCTAATAATAACAATGAAATTTTAAGCACCAAATGTAATGTTGTAAGATAAAAATTGAAAAATACAGCATTTCCAGAATTTTTTTAATTGACCAATCAGAACAAATTGTCAGTGTTTTAAACCACTAAAACCTATCCTTGCCCTTTGAACATATGAATCGTTTTAATGATTGGAAGGTGTAAAATGTAAAAATTTTGGTATTTCTGATGGGTTTGGCATTATTCTATTTATGAACAGTTATCTTAATATTTAGGTGTCAGAGAGTTATAACAGCCATCCTGATGCTCTGGATTTTGTCCAAAATGTAAACACAAAAAAGCCAAAAAAAATCACCTCACCCGATTTCCTTTTCATTCATAAACATATTTCACATATTTTTTGTTAAAAATGGATAACCGGTCAACAGCCTCCCACCCTGAGACTGGGATTGATTACTTTGGACATATCGCAATACTGATGAAACTTTATAAATTTAAAGTAAAAGTTGGGTCATTGTTGCAGTGTAACATTGTTACTGTGCTGGTGCAATTTTTAACCCAACCAAAAAGAAAAGAGCTTAGTGGAACAGTTATAAAAGAGAACTAATTTATTACAAAACTAATTGCAATATTTTAAACAATTTTTCATTAATTTTATAGACGATTTTTAGATGACATATTCTAGTATATGGTCATACGGTGTTCTTCCAATCAGTCGGTCCCATTGCTCAGCCCTGTCATCTCCGAATATTATTTTAGCAACCAATGAATATTTGATAAATCTAGAAGTAAAAGACTGCAAACCCTCAAGTCCCTGAACTTTAATACACTGAAAACTTAGAATCTATTCAAAACAATTATAAGGTTTTTTTTAAGGTTTTCTATATATGAGGAAACATTGTTGTGACCCAAGTAGATTCGAACCCACAATTCCTTGGTTTAGAGGTAGACACTGTTATAACTAGTTTATCTCTTCTATTGATTATCAGTCACAGTTTATAAACAGAAAGCTTGTTATATAAGGTACTGCATGAATACATTGACCAATAAAAGAATGATGAACAAAATGAGGAGATTGAAACCTAGAAAAATGGCGTGAAAGATTTATTGCTTAATATTGCAGAAAGGATATTAAAGGAAATCACTTCAGTAATGAGAAGTCAGGAATGTTCTATAGAAGTAGGAAGGAATGCAAACCGCAGACCTTGTTCCAAATAATTTCATTTTTCAAAGCGAATCTTGAAAAAGTGTAAAATTTCATTTTGTAGTTTAATCTTTCAGGAAGCAGACGCTGTCCAAACAGGAAGTTGAATTATGGGATATGACAAGAGATGGAGAGCAGACGTGTGCCATGGAGACAGATGTCTACAGATGCTGAAGAACTTATGGCAGGAGAAATATGATGTCTTCATAAGACATATATTATTTTTATAGGGTAAATCATGTAAGTTGATCAAGGGCAATGAAACCTATACGCCCCTGTTGTTGTCCATCAAATCCTAGTCGATTCTTCATAAGTTTTTCTCATATAAAATATTACAGCATAAACTTATACGCAGACAATCTATTCAGACATAAATAGGTTGATGTGGAAAAAAACAACAACAAAAATATTATTATATAGTTTTTGATGGGAAGTAGCATAAGTGCAATCTTGTTGAGTGATGTAATAATGAGGGGATATTTTATTTCATGATTTTGACCAAAACAACTTGTTTGTTTGTTGTTTTTTCTATTTTTTCTCCTTTTTTGTGACCAATATAATTAAATTTAAAATAATAAGAGTGAAAGGTTTAAATTTTTTTTTATCTCGATAATGAATTTTTAAGAGGTAATTTATTGTCACCCTATTATAAGTGCCATTGCAATTTTGTCCAGTTTAAAATTATATGATTCATATTAGGTGTGAAATTAAACATTTTATAATTAATGAATTATCAATGAAAGTTTATGTATCATGAGGGCTTCATGCCCTCAACACAGGCCTGACTTGCCAGACTGGCCTGCACATCTATGTGTCAGTGTTGCTGTCACATTTCAGTTAAGTTTTTGTGTGCAAGCTTGTATCTCCAAAACTATTGTTGGGAACAGGTTGAAACTTCACACACTTATTTAGAGCATAATAGGAGTTCACTGTCCATAACCCATAACTCTTAAATTTGAATTTTGACTGAATTATGGCCCATTTTGAACATTGGAAATTTTACATTATTCAGGCCCTTGTTTTTTGTCATGCACTGAGAATAGTAGTGAAAGCTGCTCCACTGCCATCTTGTTATTTTGAAACCCCTTAAAGTTACAGTGGAGGTTCAGATATTTAAGCACTCTTAGTAAGTCAATTATACAAATTTAGAATAATTAGGGTTATATTTGAAATAATAGAATTCAAATAGAGAAATAAGTATATGATATTTTTGTATAACTCCATGGTATTATGTGTTAATTATGTATTTTCATTGCTAACAATATCATTTGTACATGAAAGATTATACATTTAATTTTGTTTCCAGTGTGCATGGGGAAAATTTTTGTTCTCCTTCACACTTGTATATTTATGCAGCTTTAAAGCAGCACGCCTCCAGATTCATGCTTAATTTCATGAAAATTTTGAAAATGTATTGAATGTGTAATATTGTGAAGTAACCAAAAGAAAGCAATTTACACATTATGAATGGCACTTACAAACCACGTAAATTATCAAAAAATTGTCAAATATGCATAAATAGCCTCTACTGCGTTAGTAATACAGTAGAATTAAAGTTGTAAATACTGAAAAATCAGTCATTAATGCACAACATATGTATAATATTATTTGAAACTTGAAACTTTTCCTTACATCTTAGTACATTTTTCTAATGTTTGATTTTATTGAAATATTTTGACTCATCTGGAGGCATGTAGCTTTAAAATTGACTCAATAGAGCAACAACAAAAAATGGTTGACTCATATTTTTAAAACCTTGAAACAAAATATATAAATACGTCGAAATCTTAAGTGTGCCAGAAATTTGATTGCTGATTTTAAAAAGAAGCTTATCATTTCATGTAAGTAGTTTTTAAAGTGTGAACTTTTTCACTTTTATAATAAAAATGCCAGCTGTTTCGCGGCCAAATGTTTTCTACTTCATGTAAGTGCGTTGCTTGTAATAACTATCTTCTGGCATTCTTTGTGGGTTCTCGAAAAAAAAATCAGATTAAAACTCCAGGTCAGAATCTTATTAAATTTTGATCTGGATTTAATAGGTTAAACACATAAAGAGAATGGCGATGGGTTGATTGAGTTTATTGGAGGTATTGTTTTACTGGAATCAAGAGAAATATAAAGCCAGCATTAATTTGACACTGTTGTGCTGATGTTTTTTGTTAAATTAGAACCACATGTTTTCAGTAATGTGTTGTTAGTGCATAAAATGTGGTCAGACCTCTGATGGTTTAAAATAAAAAGGTTTTCTTGAATTTTGAAATGTGGAATTTGATTCAATCTTGTTAAGGAAATGAGTCAAGTAAATCTGCTGCAAATACTGTCATATCTGATTTCTTTACAAAATTATTATTGAAATACATAAGATTTTACTATTTAGTTGATTTTGTTATTCTAAAATTTTGAAAAATAAGTGTTGAATTTACTACTTTCTTTGTTTTACTCCATTCTGAAAGTTTAAGCACTGTCACCGTGTAAATGCCTTTCTTGTTGGTTAGTCATCATCTTAAGACCACAGTAAGTGATATATTTATCACATGCTGACCACTGTTGGAAGATGGTGCCATGCATATTCCATTAGATTCTAAGAAACACAAGGTTTTTGCATTTATTTATGTATAGATGATTAAACCATAAGTTCAAATTTTCATCTTGAAATTCACTGACTATCTGTAAAATAGAAGCTGGACAAGTTAACTTTAAGAACTATAGCAAGCTTATTTAAGTTAAACAAATAAGAGTATTTGACATTGTCATTCAAGAATTTCATTCTGTTTGTTCCATTTCTCAGTTGATTAAACAATTTTCTAGAAGGTGTTGTAAATCTCTTATTTGATATCATGGTAAAGTATATGATAGTGAAAATTGTTTGATGGTTTTCTATTTTTCTCCCATCTACTAGCCTCATCACACCAAATTAGAGACTAAATTTTCTACAGAATTATTTTTTTGAAAATTTCATCATCAAGTGATGAAGATTGTTTCCCCCTAAAGAAAATAAACGCCAATTTCTACTCATGTTAAAGAATAAATTGAGATCTGGATAGTCCTCAGAAATGTGTATTTATTTGAATATTTAATTAAGGTTAATTTAATTCTCGTTAAAACCCAAGAGAATTGCTTAGTGCCTTAATTAGTACTTTCAATTTAATTTATTAAATGTAATGGCAGTTGAAGGTAATTAAAATGGCCATTACTGGGCAGAATTCTTGTCAATTTCAGGAAAACACAAAGAATCGGTTTGAAATGAGATAAAATTGCATTTTATATGCATTTAAATTGAGACATCTCATGAAATTGAGCACACTTTTGATGAAGATTTGACTTTCAGACCAAAGATATTTGTTAGATAATAGGTTTACTGTAGAGCAGTCTTTTGGAAAATTGTTCCCGGAATTATGGGAGTTTATTTTATTCTAACTCACTGCCATCATTTCTTTGTTTTTATATTGTTTTTGTCCTTCAAATCTCTCTCGTATTTTAAGAAAAATGTCTAAAAGATAATTGATTATTGCCGGTAGCCAGGGCTTAAGTTGTTGCATTTACATCTGGCCTGGAGGTTATAAAACTTTTTTTCTGAGTTCTGTCTCAAATCTGAGGATTTTCATTGGCCAGTGGACATTTTGTGGCATTTCTGACCATTCAAATACCCAAGATCTGAGTTTGAGCTTAGAGAATATCTTTTTAAATGCAGTAATCATAGTATAAACCCTTGTCCTGCTTTTACGTAAATAATTTTTTCAGCTATGAATTTTGAACAGTTTATTTATAGTTTGAGGAAAGAGATGTGGGGAAGTTACTATCACTTGTGGAGATCCCACAAGGGATGGGATATTTGTTGAACACATGGGAAATGATTAGAATATGTTTTATTTTTAGTGATGAAAGTTGGAATTTGATTAAAAGAAAACTAACCATACTGAAAGCTGTAGTGATTTCAATATGTAAAAACAATACAAAAGCTTAGAAAACACATAAAATGGTCTAAGGATAATAAAATAGAAGACAAGCTTCTTGGACAAAGAAGTTTAAGGAAGGGCTGAATCTGTCAGGGTCACAGAGGAAGTGTAAAGTTATAAAATTCACACTTAGTTTTGAAGCCTTGGCTATTTTCTTTATATTTTGTCTTGTCCTTGAAGATTTATTAAATTCAATATTTAAGACTGATGATTTCTTTCAAATATTGAGAAGTTTAATGTGAGGAAGATGGGAGCAGAATAAGTAGTTCTTCCTGTCATAAACTTCGGGCAATGTTTGAACTTTGATTAGTAAAGCTTAAGGTCAAACAGATGTGAGAACTGGACTCGGATATCACAGCCACTTGAAACATTGCCGTAGGGGCTGGTCACTACCATTTACTATCAATCTGGCAATACTTATTTCTTGACTTCTTATTGAAGATTTCTTTTTGGAGGGAAGATATGTGCTATGTTTTGGAGGGAAACTTATTTTCTGCCAATAACTTATTCAGCTACTGGTGGAAGGAGTGCTGTTAATGTAGTTGTTACTTGTATTTTGATTGTTGTGTAAAAACTCTTGGTTCATTATAAAGATATTTTAAAATCCATTCAACAAGTATTTAACAAAATATAAAAAATCTAAGCTATTCCTGTTTAGAGTTACCGTAAACTTCGTTTCTATCTATAGTCATTCAAATTAGTGACAAAATGAGAATACTTTTTTCTTACAACTTCCTGATCAAACAAATATATACAATATGAAAAACAATTTTTTTAGTGCAATTTTAAATAAAGTCATAGCCAGAATACAGATAAAAAAAGATATTTTTAGAGAGATGTTTACATGGACTTACAATCTAAATTATTTTAAGACCCATAATGCATCTCTTCCTGCTCTTGTCTATTTACAGATCAGGCCGATTTTAAATCAAATAACGAAATCCAGCAGGCCAAAGGATTGCAAATGTGCAAATTATAATTGTATTTCATTTTTTTTTCCTATGTGCCAGGCCCTTTTCCTCTTTTTATCATCATTTTAGGATTTTCTTCAGCATCAACAGAAGAAAAAAAATTTTTTTTAGGGGGTAGAGTGGGAGATTATGAGCTACCTGTAATTGGCATCCTTTAACTTGACTGAAGTATTAAATGAATAAAAAAGCTGATGAAAAAAGAATAATTTTACAACTTATAATATGATATTCAACATTAATATATAATAGTTTTGTATCAAACCCTTTAATACTTTGAAATTGTTACATAACATCTGTTATCAAAGGTCCAACA